CTCCGTCGTCAGATTGGGAAGTAGCCCGTTGTTGAAAGCTACCTGTCGGGTCTGTAATTCCGCCACTCTTCGTAGCAGCTGTCAGAGATGGTCGCGCACTTCCACAGCAAGGTGTGCGTCTTCAGTAAGGGACATCCCCTCAAGGATGTCCCAGTTCTGGCTGGCCAGAGCCCAAGCCTCGGGATTGGGCTAGGTGAGCTAGTAGGTGACCTCATCAACCAGACTGAGTTAGTGATCCTCGGTCAGGGGGGGTACCTTTTTTATGAGTTCAGTCATTCTGTCATGATCGGGATCGCAGAAGCAGGAACAGGGAGACGAGGGATCAGAACAAAGGATTTATTACGAATCAATCCTAATGCGGGACATCAAAACACGCACCGTTAATAATTGGACTCAGGAAACATACTCGAAACATACAGGAAACGTAGAACAGCTGGTAAACGTAGGGATTCCACACAGGGTTAACGAGGGGGCGTGGCACACAGGAGGATCGGACGATCGGACGTGACACGTGCTCCACTAGTATAATTTAATAAACATAATATTTGCCAAATTTATACTGACTACTAAACTTATGGGAGTCACAATACACATCTCATTAGTATTTTAAGCATACATTTTTTTATATGATCTCTCTTTTTTTTTTGTTTAATCTATCATCTTAGTTTGTTCTGAATTTTAAGATGTCTTGGGAGAAGTTAAGTTCTTATTTCTGTATGAATAATTCATCTTTATTCATTTGATTAAACATTAATAAAATTTAATAAGCTTTGACCTGATTTGGCACTCGACCATGTTTTTAATTTAGACCCCCTCTTTAATTTAGACCCCTCGCTCTTTCTCTCTCTCTCTCTCTCACACACACACACACACAGCAGACACTGTTGTAAATTGTAAAGACTTGGCAGTGCTGGTAATGTGATGGATGGGGGGACGGACACATGGTCAAGGCAGAGAACGCAAATGAACTTGGCTTTTCAGACGCTGGAGGCCCGAAACCTGCAAATGAGATTTTAATCCCATATTCTTACAGCTCCCACAGCCCTTTTGAGGCTGGATCGAATTTTATGTTACTGAACATCTAACAAAAACAAAACAATTTTCTTTATCAAGGCATTAATGAAAATTTACCTGATTAACCTGTTACAGGTACACTGTATTGTTTGGGAAGACAGTCACAGGTGAAAAAACAGCTGGTGCCCCTGAAAGAGACACGAGTCACATGATGAGGGGGAGGAGCCAGTCAGGGAGCCAGAAAGGCCACAGACAGCCATTGCAGACAGACTGCTGTGCCTCAGCGTGGGCTTGTTTGCTCCCCCCATGTACAGATGTACTGTTTTTGTCTCACAGTAGCTAGACAGTGAATGTGATGGTACCAGGGAAGCAAATGGTACCACTAAGCAAATTAATATTATTTTTCTCTAACTGTAAAAATAATTTCTCCATCAAAAAGTGGACATTTGTTTTTTTGAGTTTGTTTACTTTAAATCTACACATTGTTTAGGTATAAAAATATTGTAGTTTGCAGAAAAGAAGAAACTGATTTCCAACTCTGTTAAACTTTATTAAAATGAGCCCCCACACTGTGCAAACAATATACAACAATCATGCGGATGATTATTCCGAGATTTAATTTGAATGGGGAAATGTTACCTGGGGGACTGTTACCAAGGAAACCATACACTTTTTTAATCACCTCACAAAAATCAGCAGCAGGTTCTGCCTCTTCACCCTTTGGCAGGCAGCTGTAGGCCCACACATTGCTTAGTGCTGTCATCGCTGCAGAATGCAGTGTGCACTGAGCTGCACTGTATGTACTGCATGGTGCTTTACCTTTTAGCCCTGAGCTGTGAGAAGGCTAATCGTTACCAGCACAGCAGCAACAGACGTGTTGTGGGTTGTGGCAGGGTGGGGCTGAAGCCAATCACAGGGGGTATATGGCACAAGGCCAGGGTAAATACTGGATGGGACTCCAGTTCACTGAAACAGGCGCTTATAGACACTCTCAGACAGTCACATGCTCTGGGTGATTTAGGGACACCAGGTCCCCTCACTTCATATGATTGGACAGCAGTAGGAATCCTCAGCAACCCGGGGAAACCAGAGCAGCCCAGGGAGTATGTGCAGACCCCCCCACACAGAGCAAAGGGAATCAGCGCACATGTTCCTGACATCACTGCCTTACATACATGGTATCTAAATATGATTCTAATAACTTCACAGAGAAAAGAAACACCAACAGTCAGACAAAACGTTGATCCACTTTCATAGTTTCCATAACAGTTAACAAGAGA